AGGTCTAGTAATGCTATCCTCCAGCAAATACCTTTTGACTCAACCAAAGAATCTATGAATGAGTCAGCGGGTGGGTGGGTACGTGAGGATCGGTTGGAGCGGCCCCTGCTTCGTTGTGTCCTGCTCTGTGGAAACTCGGGACTGGTGGCACCCCCTTCTCAAGTGCTAAAAATAAAGGTGGCAGAGGTTTCACTCTTAACGTTTGAAACAGGAAGGAAGAGAGCAGGCAGAGGAATTATGTACGTATTTATTTTCTCATATCAACTAATTAAGTCAGGAACGTCACTTTCTGCTTCTGAATTTTTCTTCCTTATAATTATAAAATATATTGCAGTATATTTTCTTTATTGTTTCTTAAACTACTTACAAAAGTCTTTTTTATAAAAATTTTATTTATTTATTTTTAGAGAGGGGAAAGAAGGGAGAAAGAGAGGGAAAGAAACATCAATGTGTAGTTGCCTCTCTTGTGCCCTCTACTGGGGACCTGGCCTGCATCCCAGGAGTGTGCCCTAGAATGGGAACTGAACCCGCAACCTTCTGGTTTGTAGGCGGGCACTCAGTCCACTGAGCCACACCAGCCAGGGCCATTTACAAAAGTCTTCTATGATCACTATGAAAAGAAAAAGGTTATACGTAATGTGAAAATATGAAAATACACTTAAAAATAAAAAGTAATGGTTTCCTATAGTCTACCTGCCCCTAGAAAACATATTAATACTTTATTATATATTCCTCTAAATAGTTTTTCTGTGTATACTAGCCTATATATTATTATAACAACATGATTATCCCATATATTTTGCATCTTAATAACTCTTGGATATCTTTTTATGTGTAGATCGATCAATGTTTATTGGAACATTTATTCTTCATTTCTTACCATTTTGACAGTTTTTCAGTACTATAGTCTTAGAATGTTTACGTTAAGCCACAGATCTCTACGGGAGTTGAGAGTGTTGAAGAACTCCAGGTCAAGCTGCTTGAAGACTAGTTTAAGTATCAGTCTGTGAAAAGCAAGAAACATTCCCCGGGCCTGGAAGGGTTGTATCGCAATAGTTGGGACAGAGGAGTGAGGCAGGCAAAGCCGGTTGCCGATTATTACTGGAAATCGTAACCCTGAACGAGAGTCAAAGGGAGAGACCTGCTCCCTCTTCTCCCACCTGGCTTGGGCTGTAGCCTAGGCTCAGCACAGCTGTAAACACCATCTGATATTAGTGTCATAACCAGCTACTGAGTGTTAAGAGACCCAGAAAATAATAGAACAGGCAGAGCCTCTGGCAGCGTCTGGTTTCAGGTGGAAGAGCCTGGGGGCCAGCTTGGAGGAACGGGAGGTGAGAGGAGGAGGTAGCCGTGGGTGGTGTCTGGGAGAAACCAACCCAGAGCTTCAGCAGAGCAGTTTCCCTTTCATGTTTCTGTGTGAAGATTACTATTTTAGTCAAGATATGGATTGTGTTTCCTCCTTATGTTCTCACTATTGACCTAGCCCATTTCATTTTTAGAAAGGAAAACCAAAACAAAACAATCCTCAAACCTTTTCAGAAGTAATTTATCCAGGTGTCACAGAGCTAGTAGTCAACAGAAAATAGGCATTTAAGTCTTCTCCCTCCAAAACCCATGCATCCGGGTACATTGAAGGGAAGGTTTGCCTCCCTCACAAAGGAGGTTGGAGGGGAGGGGAGGGGACATTGACTGGGAGGACTGGGGTAGTAAATCTAAAGAGGATTGCGTGAAAGAACCAGTACTCTCTAATCACATTGCTTTAAATATAATCAAAGGGGAAAGAAAGTAATTGGAGACCTAGAGAAACTGCAACCTATTATAAAACACTGTAATGCCTGTTAACTCCTGGAAGGGCTGATACCTGTTTGGGGCCCTTCCCTGGGGGTGGGACAGACGCAGATAATGGCAACTGGAGTTTGCAAATGTTCCGTGACCCACAGGGCAGAGGGCCCAACCTGAGATACAAGAGAAATGTTTAAAAGGAACAAAAAAGAAAAGCATTTTACATAAACTGTCAGTGGTAACAAATTTGGAAACAAGCATGAAGAATTTTTATGGTTATTCCTCTGGATTTCATTTCTTTATCTGGACAAGAGAGACATGGTGGGCAACTCTAAAAATGTGTGATTTTGTGATTTTTAAATGAATTTTAAAAGCCAGTTAATTAGAAATTACATCCTACATACAGGTGTTATTTGCACTTCTTAGTTACCTATCCTACATGGTCAGAACCACCCATATTCAGAACAACCAAACTGCTGTCTTAAACTATGCCCTTACTGAAGACTGAACCTGTCACCCTACTTAACATTGTATGTGCCGACTGCCCCCAAACTCAGCAAGATGTCATTCGATGAACATTAGAGCCCTTTATCTCTCTTTCCTATTAAGAAACTTAATGGCATCCAGTCATTCCAACACACTCTTCCTAGATTGCTGGCCATTAGTTACAAATCCTTCCAAATGCCTGAGACCAAGAGCAACTCTGACTCTTAAAAGTAGAAACCGGGTCTGTTTTGCACATGAAAAAAACAGGCATGGAGCAGAAAGACCTCAAGGTCACTCACTATATACAGATCACAGGAGAATCAAGGAATAAGTACCAAGGTTTGCTTTATATTTTGTAGTTTATCTCGTTCTTCCAGACGCAATAGAGCTGGCTGGCACTTGACAAACAAATGCCCTTGGCATTTTTATGTTTTTCTATCCTACTTGCCTCCCATGGAACATTGCAGTTCAGTCTGAATTTAGATTAGAAATGGAGTTCCTTGTACAAGTACGTTGGAGATGTGAGGGCCTGAGAAGGATGTCCAAAAGTCATCCCTTCATGGAACTCATGTTCATTGAACTTGTATGCTACATGCCCGGCATGATTTTAGGTGCTGAGAATATGGGAGTGAATCTCCAAAGGTCCCACCTTCTAGCAGAGGGGAGAGACAGCAAACATGAACGACAGACATCAAGCAAAGCTAAATGCTTTGAAGATATTAATACACAGCAACAAGAGGAGGGGGTGATACTTGGCATTGCCTCTCTAAGGAGATGACAGTGGAGCTAGACCAGGATGGGGTGTGGGAAAAAAAAGTCCTGTGAATTCGTGGGCCTCCTTTCCCAACCTCCCTTCAAGTGTGATCTGTAAGCAATGAATATTCCACAAAAAGGCTGAAACAAAAAGGTGCTCGTGGGGGTTCTTGCTCTCCATCCTGTAAGTTCACTCCTGACAATAACAATGCCCTTCAAAGCAGACGACATAGGCTGTTGCATTCAGATTGAACATTAGTTGGAAGCTTTTAGCTGCTTCACCACTAAAAAACACTTACAGTAGCAATAAAGGGCAGTATCTGTTGAAAATGTAACAGTGTTTGTAAGTGACTGGGTTATAGGAAGCACTCTTACAATGGCTGGCATTTAATACTGGGAAGTGTTGCTATGGTTTATAATTGGGAGGGCTCTGTGGCCTTGGCTACTGCTATTTCAAAAAGGACCCACCTGGCTTACAGCATCGTCTGCTGATCCTTCTTTATCATAATGGAATGATAGTTTAGGGTTTCATTTAAGTCAGTAATTGACTGCACATTTGTCTATTAGAGACTGTCAGTTGATGACTTCCCTGAGGAAGCTTGAACAGAATGAAATAGGAAAACGAACAGAATGAAATAGGAAAATGGAAATCTAACCTAGGTATTCATGGTTAATTTCACAGCTTTACAGAGGTCCTTTGAAGTCCTCTCCCCTCCCTCCCACAAATCCTCCGGCAACCGGAAGGCTAGAGGAGCTCTCTATCTTAGAGCTGTTTGGGAACTGTCTTCAAAACTAGAATCTGTATTGGCCAACAGAGAGTCAATTTGAATTTTAAATCCTGTTGTTTCACTCAATATTTCCAAACTAACACAGCAGTCACAATTTTTTTTTGTCTCTGCCACTTTAAAAGACTAAATAAAAAAAAAAGCAGCAACTTCTCAGCTGCCTTGCTTTGCAGCAGAGATAATAGAAATTGGCCAGAGTTATTTACTTGACTGCTATTTATGGCAACCTGTTTGTGTATTTTTAAACCACATTTACAATGGGCTATTGTTCGGTTCTATACTGCAGAGGCATATATGGTGCAAACCACTCCCAAGGAATCCTGATGGTACAAGGATTTCTTTTCTTTTACCTAATTTTTTTTTTAAAAAGTAGGATACTGAAGGAAATTGACCATTTTAAGCTGCTTTTATTTGCTAGCCTTTTATAAAATGGCAAAGCTCTAAAAGTATTGCCTCCTTTTCCTCTCCATGCCTTTGGCATTTTATCACCATGTGATAAGGAGACTATTGCAGAAATTAAAATTTGTAGTTCAAAAGAGATTCAGACCTCTGCTGCAGATACTAATCTACCATTTCTTTCTGGGCTTGCTTTGAGGTTTTTGCTTTTTGCTTTTCTTGGCCCTTTCTGTGGACATGTAATGCCAAGCTTCACTCTCTTTTAGTGTACCTAGACGTAGCTCTGAAACAAGATTAGACTTAAGTATGGGGCACATTCTTGTGTTTGAGTAATGATATTCACTTAACCTATTTACAAAAACTCTTATGTACTTGATTAAGTGTATCCTGTGACCTGGCCCCTTTTCTTTTGTTGTTATTTACTGATAAAAATAAATCTCCTGCGCTAAGCAGTAGGAATCACTTCGAAATGCAAGAAGAGTCTTGGGGGGGGGGGAATTCATATGTTAATGATCCCTTCCAAGGGAGAACTTGGTTAAACGTGCCATTTGCTGACATCATTGTTATGGGCAGAGTGAAGATGATTTCTTTAAGAGGTGGCTTTGCATATTCTCCCAGCGTTTTGTGGTCCGCGCGTGCACCTGCGGGAGGGGCGAAGTTTACATAAGCGTCCTTGAGGATTTGCCTCTCAGCTGCTCGACTCACTAGGGCTCGGGGCAATGGAGCGGTTGGACTGAGGTAGGTGCTGGAGGCGCAAGGCTGGCCGAGTGGGTGGGTAGCTTTTTGAGAAAGAACGTGCTAGCGGGACCTCGTGGAGACCTGGCAGGTCAGCAGTGACAGTTCCTGGAAAGAAGGCGGCGGCGAGATCAGGTTCGGCAGGCGCCTCCTGCGGACTGGAGCGGAGAACCGAGCTGGGCTGGCATCGCGAGCCGGGCAGCCGGTCCCCTGCGCTTCGCCGAGGGTAGGACGGGCAGGAAGCGAAATGGTTACTTTTTTAAAAAGCGGGCTCTGGTTACTTTTGAAGATCTCCGGTCCCGGGCGGGCTCCCGGAGCAGAGTAGAGACGGTTTCTCTCTCTCTCCCTCTCTCTCTCTCTGCGGTGGAGGATCCTGGGCTGATGCAGAGCCGGGGCGTGGGGGCTGCGGTAGCCTGGACGAAGCGAATCTAACAAGGGGAACAGAGTCAGCGACACCAGCGGGGACTGAGGGCCCCTGGGGAGCAGAAGGACCTTTTGCCAGACACCACCGCCCCCCCACGTTGGATGGGGGCTGCAGGGGTGAGAATCGCCGCGTTGTACCGAAAGTGAGCCAGACGTAGACTGGCCGGGGGTAGAGTGCGTCACGGCGAGGCGGGGGAGACCCCCTCGCCCACCGGGTGGGGCCAGCGCTGCGCCCAGACGGGGGAGGAGGGGAGCAGCCCGCAGAGGTTTGGTGGGGCCCTGCGCTCGTTGCTCCCGCCCCACCGTCGCCCCCCTGCCAGGGTCTCCTCCGGAAATGGGTGGGCGAGGATGACCTGGAGGGCACCCAGCCCTGTTTTTTTTTCGGGGGGTATCGCTCGCGGGCCGGCAGCTTCGGCCGGTCGCAGAGCGGGTGGGCGGCGAGTGCCCGCCGAGGTGCCCAGGGATCGGAGGGGCTGCAGGCCGCGCTTGGCCCCGCTGCCCGCGGCCGCAGGTGGGGACCGCAGTCTGGGTCCCGGGGCTGGATGGCAGTCGGGCGGCGGGGAGTGAACACCCAGGGCTGCAGGGGTGCGCGAGTCGGTGTGCGCACATAGGGAGGGGCTTCTCTTTGGAAGTTGGGGTATAGACGTGTGGCCACCCGGTACCGCCGAGCCGCGGGGCTAGTGTCTTGTTGGAGGTGACGCTACGTTTGAGAGGCGGCGCGAGGCTTTCTCCTGCAGGTCGGTAAGAGGGGTTCGAAAAGGACTCTATCCGGGGGGCGGGGGCTCTTCTCCGTGAGTCTCACCACCGCTGGGTCTCGAGCTCGCCCTTTGGGTGCAGGAGGGTAGGGAAACTGAGGGAGTCGGGGGACCGAAGCGCCCCGCGGCCCGGGGGCGCCCCCTGGCGGCTTGAGCAGCTATCGCCACGCAGAGGGTAGGGATTGCGGGGCGCAGGGGGCGCTGGCGCCTGCTCCAAGGTTTCCCTTCCAGATATGGGCATGGGTCGACCCAGTGGATCACCGAATTTTCCCAAAGAAAGGTGACATCCTTTCCCTCCGGCTCCCCTCCCTGTCCCCTTTTCAAAAGCTCGGGTTTTCACATTAATCTATGTCAGTATAAACCAGGCTATGTGTGGAATTTGTTTTTACAACTCTAGTCTTGTGACTTCTCAAACACTTTCTTGAAGTGTTTTCTCTGGAAACTTGTTTCAAATGAGTGCTGTAAGTTTCACAAAGAGGAGTGTTGTTCGGGAGCCAACAGGTGACAGGGTGAAACCTGAGTCTCTGTGTACATTGGAGTCAAGTCTAGCTGCCGTTTCCTTGGGCCGCGGTTGAAAATAGAAATTCTGAAAATCAATAAGAGACTGGCTGGAACACGATTTTGAGAAAAGACCTGCATCCCCCATTATGGAAAATAATGAATTCATTGGAACAGTGCCTTGCGTGGTCCACCCCACAGCACAGCATGCGTTTTGTATTTTGTCTTTATGTACCGCTTTGCAGCCAAATAACCTGACCCCCGAAATCGTCGCTTTGGCAAAGGACCACGCTTTGTCATCACGTTTCCTCCTTTTGTTCAGCAGTCTGTGGTGCTGTCGTGGAATGTATTTGTGCATGAAATCAGAGTGCTTGGCGGCCCTGCAGAGCCCACATTTCCTCTTGAAAAAGTGGATCGCTTCTTGGCAATTGGATGGGACATGACGGGCCACTCAGTTGTTGGAAAATGTACAAGCTGGATGGGGCTTTACCTGGAAAATACTGAAAGTGCCAAAGGGCATGAGGCCTAATGCTGCTAATTGGTAGTATGAAGTAGTTTCAGTAAAGGAACGTTTCGGAAGCAGTGTCTTCAGATACCTTCATTATGTTTTTAGTTTTTAGATAAAATGTGCTTACTTTTTATGACCATTATCTTTAGAGTTCATGTCAATGTAAATCGAATTGGATTGTGCTCTGGTGGCAGTGACTGTTGCCTTCAGCAGACCACAGGCGTTGACTGACTGCTCTTTGGGTATGTGAAGGCTTTAGAGGGGTAGCAGTTCAGCGTCTCTTTGCAGAGAAATTTAAATCTTGATTGTAATCATTTTTGTTAACCTATGGCTTTTATGGGTGCCAGGGTTGTTGTGTTTTTTTTTTAAGTTAAAAAGCATCATAAACTGGGAAATACTTATATCCATAAGGGTTATATTTTGTGTATTGAGAAGAATGGAAGTGTTTTCCCACTTTTTGTACGACCAAATTAGTCTGTAGTTAAATTTAATTCACCTGCACATTTAGCCTGCAAGAAGTAGAGTAACTTGGCTGCATACGTGTGATCTTCATCCTCTTGTTAACAAGCAGTTGAATAAGAAGTTGTTACACAGGCTGTGGCCTGCTGGATGGCACTTAGCAGCAGGGGACACCTCGGGAATGTTAGCCCCACAGACTTCCCAAATCAGTATCTGTTCTGGTTTTGGTGATCAAAGGATTTCCAACTCCCCTGGGCATGTTCACACATGAAATACTTCTTCATAGGGCTTTACCATGCCAGGTTGGTTGGTCTTCACATAGGAACTAGACTGGGATTACACTGGGGAAAACGTTAGTAATTAGGGGTGTGACCTTAGACTTCATTTACAATAGCAGCCACTGAAAATTATTTTGTTTTCTCTTCACATGATTTTGATTTGATTTGGTGACTTGGTCCAAGAAAATGATGAGTACTATAGGAACTGTATCAGAACTGATGTACAGTTGTCACCTCAGTATTAATCTGAGTGAATTGATTCTGCTCAACCCCCTCAAACCCTTACTCTCTCTGATTTGCCTATGTACTATTTTCACATTGGTACATAGTCTTTCAATCACTGAAAACTCCAAACTATCTCTGACGCAGTTTCTCCCTTTCCTATTCTTTTACTTTCTCCCCCCAAGTCACCATGTTCAGGCTCTTTCAGAGATAATGAGTTAAGAGGCCTGTCCTAGGTTTCCTTTCTCTGTCCTGACCATCACTGTCCCATTAGTTTTCCCTACGACCTGCAGTGGCACCTTCCTACTCACATGCCTTTTGTCCTCTCCCATTGCCCATAGGGTTAACTGCAGTCTTCTTCCCGGTAGGTACTACTCGAAAATGTTTTTCACTGCTGCCATTGCCATCTGCTATTGCTTCTTTGGAAGACTCTGTCTTCTAGTGAAACTGTCGACTCTTTACTGCCTCTTGACCTTCATATACTGTGCTGACTTACTAAGCTTTTCAGGGAAAATTAGTAAAGGCTGGACTTTATATACATATATGTCAAGGTCAATCAAAATAATAAAATCCTTAGCTGCCCTGGGTGCAGCACTAAGCTCATCAGAAAATAAATGATCTCCAGATGACTAAAATAGCATAACAAAATAATAAAGCTGCTTTTTAATTTGAATAATAGCTTCGCATACTGTATGTTATCTTCTGTAACCAGTGATAACTGTGTTATAGGAGCAGTGCCTGAGCCCTTGTCCACAGCATAATCGTTCTATATATTACTTTAGACAAACTTTTTCAAAGAAAAGTTGCCTAATTTACAAAATATTGAAAGCAACAAATTTTAAAAGATTTGGAAGTTGTTGGTTGTGGGCAAAGTTAAAAGGTTACTTAAGAAGAGACTCGTCCTGGCTGGCGTAGCTCAGTGGATTGAGTGCGGGCTGCGAACCAAAGTGTCACAGATTCGATTCCCAGTCAGGGTACATGCCTGGGTTGCAGGCCATGACTTCCAGCAACCGCACATTGATGTTTCTCTCTCTCTATCTCCCTCTCTTCCCTCTCTAAAAATAAATAAATAAAATCTTAAAAAAAAAAAGAAAGGACAGAAAACCTATGAAAACATGTCTCATTAAAAAAAAAAGAAGAGACTCAAGTAGCAGGATCCCAAACATCATGAGAGCAGGGAGAGAAAAAAACCTATAAAAATTCGTTAACCATCTTAAAGTGGTGGGCCGTGCACTTCTGGACATCAGCTACGTTGTGAGGGGGCCCATGAATCTCCCATGTGTCCTAGTTGAGGTTCTCAAGCCACACCCACCTGGACGGCTGGATTAGAACTCCTGCATCTTGAATCCTGCTGCCAGTGTTCTTTCTGTTGTTCGTTTTTTACTCTGAAAACAAATGATCAGCCAAAGGCTAAATTATACATAATTTACACACATACCATCATTTAAAAAAGCAAGAGAATGTATGATGGAATTTGGAAACATTCTCCTCACAATGGATACATTTTTTTTTAAGTTCTGGCTTTTAATGGAATAAATTCAGTTGCTTCCTTTCTGATATTTCCCAGAAACACTCAGTAATGCTCTTTAAAGATAAGGATGAATGAATGAATGAATGAATGGAGTACTTACCTAGACAGTAAATATTAGGAGGAACCTCTCCTTACATCACTGTGTTGGATGAATGAAGCCATACTCTAATTTGGGTAACAAGTGCTACCTCACAGCCAAGTGTATACTGGGTGATTACAATTGTTGCTGTACCTAAGCCAACCGGAAAGATGCTGCCTGCTCTGTAGACCATTTATACATGATGGGTGGGTGCACACGCAAGTGCATGCTTGCATATGCGAGGTGTGTACTGGTGTCAGAGATTTTATGTAGGGATTGGTTGGAAGCTGAGTCCAAGGGAGCTGGGAATTGTGGCTAATAGCTTGGCAAAATTGTTTGCTCCACAGGAAGGTAGGGCCTTCCCAAACTAAAAAAAATGATGAAACTCACATGGTCACATGTCAATGTTCAGTCTTTTTTATAGTAGCATGTTGTTCCTACTCCAGATGTCCGTGGTCTGCTTCAGGAAAGTCTGTGTAGTCACAATAGAAGTAACAGTGCCGGTTGGTATACATCAACAGTAACTTTAATTCTTTATATTCATATCATTTTTTTCTTCCTTAAAACTCTTTCATATCCTTAGATCATATTTGGAAGGAAAATAGTTTTCATCTTTGAAGAACCAGGCCCCACGATATTTGGTGTCTTGTCAAAGGCACCAGATTCTGTTCCCTAAGCATCACCCTGTCCCTTGGGTCAGGTGTTCTCTTGACAATTATGATGATGGAGAAGGCACACATCTGAGAGCTGTTCATCTTTGAGTCTTTTTAAATGGAAAGAAGTAGCTCTTTGACTGTTGTGGAGGAAGAAGGGAGAGAAAGGACAAAGGAGGGACATGGAACTCTTCCACTTTGTGTTGGGTGGCTGGCATGGGGTTTCTCCCACGACAATCCTTGTCTTTCTGAGAATAGAGTATCTCATCTCTCCATACCCAGCCTCAGGCCTCTTTCTCCCCTCCCTGTGTCCATGCTCTGCTCTTCTGTTCACCATTAATTTCTCTCCTTGACTCCTGTAGTTGGATTTTAGCCTTCTCTTCAAAGCAGCATCTGCAAATACCATAACCTGCTCGAATATAATTCAGTACTTGCCCTTTGTGCATGACTCCAGTGCCATTTTTGATGGTGTTCATTCTTAAAGATGTTGCCTCCTCTCACATTTCCTTAGTGGCCAGACTCTGGAACATGAACAAACCCTGAAAACTTGTACTTCTTTTCCCCACATTATGAGACTTATTTACATCCAGAACTATAAAGAGATGGTGGAGAGGTGGGGCTCCTACTGATTCATTTCCTTAACAGGGGCAAACCTAGTGCAGAACTTGGGTAATTCATAATTGTCGTTCATGTGTAATGTAAGTTCATTCAGCGTATGACAGCATTTCAAGACCAGGATAATAAACCTGCTTCCCCATAATCACAGAACTATTTTGAACTATTTTGGCTTTTCATTCTATTTATTTCCAGCATCTAACATGATGCCTTGTCAACTGTTTTTTCAGTAAACATTTTCTAAACAGATATGTTTAATTGATCTGTGGTTAGGTAAGAGAATGTAAAAATATACACACTGTGCAATGGTTGCCACAAAATGTGTGTGTTCACGAGAAAGTAGAGGAGAAAGAGGATGAAAAAGCAAATGGAGCAAAACGCAAACAATTGATGAGTCCGAGTAATGGCTATATAATGGCTATATACTTTCCTTGCAAGTTTTCTAAAGTTTGAAATTACATTGAAATAAAAATTATTTACCAAAAGTACAAAACAAATAAAGGAAGGGCCATCTAAGTGGCTCTGCAAAACAACAAAACAAAAATCCCCGCTTGAAAAAAATTTTACCCTATATCATAACCCTGTTTGTAATCCTGATCTGTGTCCCTCTTTCACATGATTGACCTTAAGAGACAACACCTGGAAATGAAAGTAATGGAATTTTTCTGTTAGATTTAATTCACCCACGCTTTCACATTCGGCCCAAAAGGAGGTATTTTGGCAGACAAACACAGTCACATTTTTGTGTCATTAGAAAGGCCCTTCCTCATGCCCCAGAGCGTAAGTAATGGCCAGGCTCCTCTTTTGTGCTGTCAAAGCAAATACCATGTAGGAATGTAAATGCCTGCGTAAGGGATATTTGTAAGATACTTTCATTACCATTTTTATTATTTCAACCTTTTGCAAGCGCAAGAACCATGCCCAGCAGTCAGCTGCTTTCGTATGATGCAGTATGAGACAGTGATATACTTAAGAATAGGCTTTCTGGGTCTGCAGACAGGTACAAGTAATTTTTAAAAAGGAAAAAGTAAGAACCCAAATTCAAGGGTTTTTGTAATCACGTAAAGAGAAACAGTAACTAGTGGTAATGCAGCATCTCTTACTACAACCTGGTAAGTGGAGGTCATGCTATGTATAACTTGTATTTTTTTTAATGTTTATTTTTTGGTGAGCCCTCAGAACCTTCTAGTGAAAATGTTTGTCATTTTATGTAATTAGCCTCTGGTATACAGGAAGAAGGCTTTCTTCAAAGAATAAACCCTGAAGCAACAACTCGTGAGGCAATTGAATTTTTATATTCCTTTTAACTGTCTTCTTAGGATGCCTTCTCTGGGCAAAGTGGAGCATGTCCCACCCAGCTGTGTCCTTTCACGTGCCTGCAGTGCGGTCTCATGCGAGTTCACCAGAGGAAAGGGGAGTGGCACAGTCAGGTCTCACCTGCAGGAGGCAGTGTGGGGTTGTGGGGGGGTTTGAGGTCAAGGGCCCCATTCTGAGGGTGCTGCTTGTTACCTTACTGACCTTGGACAGTTGACCCGTGGCAAATCACTCTGAGGCTTTATATTCCTCTGTTAAACAAGATATACCCTGATTGGGTTGCTTGATGTGGTGATTAAATGCCTTAACACTAACAGGCCCAGAAGACCATGTTAGTTGTCGGAGTGCCAACAAGTGAAACTGAAAGCTGTGCCTATGAATAAAACAACACTGTCACTCATGTTCCTTCAGATGTTCTCTTCACACTGTTAAATAGTGACAGCCTTCAGTGTAGGAAGACTGGAAGAAATGTGTGGGAGTTGGAGGCTTGAGATGTGGCCGGCATATCCAGGAGGTGGGAGATTGTGGCATTCAGTGCTAAAGTTGATTCACCTTGATTAGGGTGGTAATTTGCTGTACATTTTCTGCAAGAGGCTAATCAAGGAATATAGCTATAAGAGTAACTTAGATCTTTGGCAGTCGGCACCTTTGTGCTACCTTGGAAAACCCATGGTTGGTCTTCATTTGTGTTTCTTATTTTATAAGATTGTGACATAATTAGATCTCTATTTAATATTTATGTTCTTCGTTAGAGTGTGCAGAGTAGGTACCTGAGTGCCTTCCTCCTCAGCCAGACCGGTCAGGGGACACAAATGTGTCATGATTTGGGTTAAATTGCAGTGAAGACCCCCCTTCTCCTGGGGGAGGGTTTTGAGTTAAATTCTTAACCTCTAGTACTCTTCCTTTGACATATGGGAGTTTGTTTGTCTGTTTGTTTTAAACAAAAAGGAAAGACTAAATCCAAGAAACTTTGTCATTAACACACACTTTTTTCTTTATTGAGGAGTAAGAGCAACTCGCCTATATTCAGAAAGTTCTTCCTAAGTCAAGACATGAACGAGTTGCACCTGTGTGAAGTGATGACTTGTTTAAAAGGTCACAACCTCCCAATGGTAGTGTAGGAAATGAGGTCATCTTTACTTTTTGTTTGGGGTGGATGAAAGTTAAATTTATTAGTTGGAATAGTATATACTGTGTGGTATGGCTTCTACTGCTAGTAAAGATCACAGCCATTGAATGTGTGGCCTCCTATTTGTGAAGTGTTAGTACTTTAATTTTTATGTCCTTTGAGTTACAAAAGAAAAACTGTAAGATTTAATAATCATAGGTTTTAGCAGGTAAGCTTTTCTAACATGTATTTAGAGTTGCATTGAGACAGTCACGGGAAAATGAGAGTCTTAGGTTGGAAGTGTTTAGGTTTTCCCTGGTTATTTAAGGAAACAAGGGAAGTTTATAAGATTGTTGGAAGTCTGATGTGTACATAGTGTGATTAGACTCTGGCTTTTATTTTAGCTGTGTGACCTTGGGTAAGTCACTTCACTTCCCAGAGCCTTGTTTACTCTAAAATTGGGTTGGACTATCTATAAATTTCTTTTTTGGTAGAGAGAAAAGGGCAAGTATTAAAAGCTTCATTGGATTCTGAAAGTCTTGTGTCTGTTTCCTCTTAGGGCCTTGGGATGAGGGATATTTTTAAAAATCAGAAGAAACTGACAAGGAACAAATGATGACGACAAAGTTCCTGGGTTGTAGGGCAGGGCCTGTTAACCTTGACACCGTCATAGCCCTTCACCTGAGAAGATGTCAGTCAGACCTGGACTTCCATCCTCCTTTGCCCCAAAGCAGGCAGACAGATGGCAAGGCGCACGTAGTAGGTGCTTCAGTGAGCGCCTACTGGTACTGCACTTCAACACCGAGAGTCACCAAGCTGGCTTTTGTTTTAAGCTTGTGCTTGGCTTCAATTACTTTTTGTTGAAGGAACTCATCATTGAATATCTGGCTGACTTCAGTTCATAGATAGTAAGGGCTTACAGATTTAACATGTTCTAGATTTAACTGTGCTATTTCTACTCAGTGAGCAAACTAAGTTTAGGGTCTCTCAAAACTTAACGAGAAACCTGAAACCTAAGCAGGTGGCCCAGTGCGCCCATGCTGCAGGTAGCAGCGCCTTGGTGGGGAGTCAGGTGGGGCTCTGGAGCCACTTCTCGTGGCACATAGGGGACAGGGCAGGAGGAGGCGCAATCCCCAATGCTTCTTTCTTCAACCCATGGGACTTCACTGGGATTTCATTTGTGGGGAATTTAACCTGATGTGTCAGGCAAAAACAATTTCCTTGAACCCTTTCAAGGAATAATTGCGTAGAGAAGCACCTTTTGAAGGCAGCTGGAACTAACTAATTTTGGTGGTCTTTTCTGAAATGCTGAGATGGTAAGGTGGCTATTTCTGAACTCGGGAGCCCTAGATTTTAGGTTGCAGCAGGCCTGGGGATTGGGGTGATGAACCAGCGCATTGGGTACCTTCTGAAGGCCACAGCATGTGTAAACAAGCATTCAGCAAAAGCTCTTGGAGGGTAAGAGCAGTGCCTTCAGGTCCTTAATTTGTTTTTTCTCCTGTTGTCCACAGCAGCCATTGTTTGATGTCCTGTGACTGAAAAAAAACCAACTTTTGAGTTTTATTATGCCTTTGGAGATGGAGCCCAAAATGAGCAAACTCACCTTCGGGTGCCAGCGGAGTTCCACGTCGGACGACGATTCTGGCTGTGCGTTGGAGGAGTATGCCTGGGTCCCACCGGGACTTCGACCAGAGCAGGTGGGAATCTGACCGTCCCGTGGTATATTTTTCAATGAGGTTTAAGATTTTTTAAAGTTTTTTAAAATTTAGAGACCAGCACAGCCACACTGACATGCTACCCACCTCAGTCCTTGCTCTTCTTTGGATAGTTGTACATTTTTTGCTTGTTAAGGTCATATTTAGTTTCTCCGTGAAAGTGTTCTATCCCTTTTGTACTCTTGGGTCCAGAAGCCTGTAAGGATGCGCTAAGGAATGAAATCCAGAGTACTGCATATGCATTTGTTATGTGGATTTCTGATGAGGCCCTTTGGAGAGAATAGGAGGAATTAACCTTTTTTGAAACTTCTATAACCATAAAAAGGTAATACAAAAGGAAAGTTGCCATGCCAGCTCTCAGCAATGCTTTTTATTTTGGAAGAGAGGAACCACAGAGCTCTGAGAAACCATCTTTAGTGTCATTGCTTAGACATTTGACCTTTGATAACCCTGCACATAAAAGAATCTGTCACCACACAGTGTAGACTGGAAAATTAAAATTGAGGGGCTAACTTTGTATTTGTTTGTATTGTTATTTTAAGGAAGATGAGAACCTTCTACATGTCTACTTTTGTTTTCCCAGTAATGATGAACTTGTTAAAAATTGTGGGTGACAAATATTATTGTAAGGGCCAAGGCATCATTTGAAGTGGAAGGTACCAACTGGATATGCAGTTGCTTGAGTTACAGCAACTGCTGTAAAATAGGGGCTCCTTATTTTTCTAGGCCTAGCATAGCACCCAGCACACATGCGTCTGGTAAGTGTGTATCACTGAAAAGCCTCTATAGCTGATTCGAGGAGTGAGGGGAGAGTGCTGGTGCACCAGTTAGGACAGCGATATTTTGATGAACTACGCATTAACCCTTCTAGCAGTTCAGGGTGGGTAGGTTTTGTGAGGTGCCAAGATATGGAAGCAGAGTCCCAGTGCCCCAGTCTCCTGTCTCTTTTCCTTCACTCACTTTCAATCCTTCTCAGCACTGCAGTACTCAGTAAGAGATGCTCCTTGAAATGAAATAGGAAGAAAATTGAGTTCTCCTTTCAGAATGAACCAAGTATAGCTCCACGTGGCTCCCCTCCAGTTTCTTGGGGGAAATTGGCTCCAGGTATTTGGAATATAACAGCCATGGAAGCAAAGAAAAGCTGACACTTGGAGAGAACCTGATAAGAGAGAGTGTATAGAGTTTAACAAAACAGCTTTTGTCTTTGTAACGTGTAAAATTCAGAGATCAAGTTCATTGCGTTTGTGTACTGGCTGGGTTGTGGACACTGTCACATAGCCTGTGTGGCCATTGGTGGCATTCACCCAGGTCTCTTCTTGGCTGAGGAAACTGGCTGGGAATCATGGCATTAAATGTGCATATTTTGGTGTGTCATTTATGATGGCCCTAAATGTCACTACAAATGACATTCCTGAAGAGCAGCTTAGCAGCTGGAAGCCTGCTACTTGAAGGGTTGCAGTTCTGCTGAGCTGGCTTGGCTGTCCTTTCCATTAGCTACAAGAGGCCAAATCTTGTACCTACAGGGAAGGTGACTTTTTAAGATGTAATAAGCTAAGATGTGCACTTTCTGTATGCTGATGTTCTTCTCTATCTCTTACTTAGATCCAGCTTTATTTTGCCTGCTTACCAGAGGAAAAGGTTCCGTATGTAAACAGCCCTGGAGAGAAACATCGAATTAAACAGCTTTTGTACCAGTTGCCACCACATGATAATGAGGTAAAACAAAAACAAACAGGAAGAAGGCTAAAAAAAATAAACACTAAGCATTGAGATGTCCCCTATGAACCCCAGCTCTGGCTGTCTTTTGCTTTTCTTCAGTGAAAATTTGGCTGGAGAATACAGCTTTCCATTCTTTAAGAGAGAAAGGGTGTTAGCGCAATAAACTTAACACAAGTTGGTTTTTATAGTGTTTACAGCCACCCACTGATTCTCAGGAGCCTGCAGATTCCTGAGATTGCCCTGCCCCTTCATCCAGACTCAGTGCTTTATGGTGGTTCAGACCACAGTTGGTTGAGTACCTGTAGAATGTGGAGCAGAAGTGGCAATTAACAAGTTTAAACCTTTTGTGGAAAGGTTAATGTCTTGCATTTTTTTAGTGTCTCTGCTGGTAAGAATTTAAATTAAACATTTCATATTTTTTTAAAAAGTGTTCCTTTAAATTGCTTTTCCCTTTTGCTAAAGAGACTGTGAGGTTTGGTGTCAATTATAGGTATGGTGGTATTTCTGAATGGGGATCCATGGAGGAGGGTATGTGGTGGCAGGCCATCTAAACTTGCTGTTTTATTTCCTGAAACTCTTAAGTCTGGAAGTAAAGAGTGGGTGAGGGAGACTTTTGCTCCAGCATGGTGCTTCTGTTTTCCTTTTTGCGAAGGTACGGTATTGCCAGTCTTTGAGCGAAGAGGAGAAGAAAGAACTGCAAGTGTTCAGTGCTCAGCGGAAGAAAGAAGCACTTGGAAGAGGGACAATTAAACTCCTATCCAGAGCAGTCATGCATGCCATGTGCGAGCAGGTAGTGCTTTCTAGAATGAGTAGCTCATGGTGGTGATGTGGATGGAGTGAGCTGGGTGGTAGGTGACAGGGCTAGCACACATCTGGGCCCTGAAAGCCTCCAACAACTAAGAAAAGGAAGGTAGCCTCACTTTTTATTAAATGAGAGTCACTGTTTATAACTGGCTACACTGCTATGTGTGACAGGCAGTCTGCCCTTATGTAAATATCAGGTGAAATCTTGCTTTTCCTAGGACCCTGACATGTCGGGAGGTGCTGGGGTCCACCTAGTATTCAAAAAATGCAGAAACATAATGAATACATCCAGATCCTTACTGGCTCTTCTTGGTGTAGGAAATCCATCCAGCAGAAGGCTGGCTGAGGAAAACCACTGTTAATGTGAGTCAGATGAAACCATTCTTAGAAACAGTCTAGTGGGAAGTCGATATATCTGAGGCATGTTCGTTGCAGTTGAGAATCACACATAATCCAGCATTAAGGAGCTACTTGACCACTAACAGGAGGGGAGAAAAATAAAAGCTTTCCAGACAGATCTTTGCTTTAGTGTCAAGTGGCAAAGGCTGAGAATCCAGTCACTGAAGAAGGAGCACTCTAACTTCAAGTCCTCTTGTTTTTAGTGTGGCTTGAAGATAAACGGAGGGGAAATTGCAGTGTTTGCCTCACGTGCGGGCCCTGGAGTATGCTGGCACCCGTCCTGTTTTGTCTGCTTCACGTGTAACGAGCTGCTGGTCGATCTCATCTATTTTTATCAGGATGGAAAAATTCACTGTGGCAGGCACCACGCTGAATTGCTCAAACCACGGTGTTCAGCATGTGATGAGGTAAAAAAGTTGATCCCTTAACACTGGAAAAAATAAGCTTCCAGGAAGCCAATATTCCACTGTTCACTGCTAAGCAAAATATAAATATCTCCTGCTTTTGCTTTGTTTTATACATTTTAAAGCTAACCCTGTACATTCATACAGTGGAATAAGATGTAGCTAATACAGAACAGGCAGCACGTGTCTTTGTGCATTGAGATAAATAGGAGGTTGTTGATGGTGAGAAAAAGACAAGCTGCATGAAAAGTGTACAGCAGATAAATAAAGGGTTAAATAAAGAACAAACCAAGATTGTATACTTGTATACATTCAGAAACAGTATAGAGAAACAACACTAAATTAACAGTGGTTACCCATGGGGCACGGGGGAAGGGATGGTGGCATGAAAGGAAGTTTTTTTCTTAAGCTTTTTATTTTAAAGTCATTTTAGATTTCAGAAGAGCTGGAGATGTTACAGAGTTCCTGTATACTCTTCTCCCAGCTTTCCCATTGTTAATGAACATCTTCACAGTCCTAGGATGTACACTGAAACTGAGAAGTTAACATTAGTGTCATGCCATTAACAATACGTTTATTTAGATTTCCAGTTTCTGGACTAATGTGTCTTTTCTATTCCAAGATCCAGTCCAGGGTACCTCAGTGCATTTATTCTTCTTTTCCCATCGATCAGTCTTCTTCGATCAGTGACAGTGAACACTCAACTTTTACTTATATTAATTATTTTTTAAAGTTTTTTCGATGATGTGGTATTTGAAATGTTTTTTGAAACCAAAACCAAAAACTATGAAGTCTTTAATCTGGAGATGGCAACCAGGCCAAACGAAGCAATCACGATGCCAGTGTTCTCTGCACAGCCCAGCGCCCAGGCAGCTGTAGCTGTCAGTTCCACCGGCATCTGTGTGAGTTTTCTGTTGAAGCACAGGCCATTGAATTATTCCAATGTTAATGTGTTCTTTGCCAGATTATGCCAATAAAATGTGATTAGGGGATAAAAATAATGACAAATTAATTGTCCCTAGTGGAGAAATCTGTTTAATTTTTTTTTAACTTTTCAATTACACTTGACATTCAATATTCTATTAGTTTCAGGTATACAGCAGAGTGGTTAGACATTTATAAAGTTTAAACAAGCACTTAGTTTCTTTTTTTTAACATTTTCAATTACTGCCCTTGTTTTATAGCTAAAGCAAGTTAGATGAAAGCTTGAAGCTATAAGAAACCAGCTTAGCTGTCTAAGTGACTTGGCCTTGAAAATAGCTCAGAATGATTTTCTGTCATCCTGCGGTTTCATATTCCTTTTAAAGATCATTTTTGCTGATGAGTGCACAGAAGCTGAGGGTCGCCACTGGCACATGAAACACTTTTGCTGCCTTGAGTGTGAAACGGTCCTCGGAGGGCAGAGGTACATCATGAAGGACGGCCGCCCTTTCTGCTGCGGCTGTTTTGAGTCTTTGTATGCTGAGTACTGTGAAACCTGTGGGGAGCACATTGGTGAGTGCCTGACCCAGCCTGTCTGCTCTGTCATGTTCCCCTCAGTCTATTATGATGGTCCATGGTCTTTTTTTTTTTTAATTGAGGTATGAATTATATACAGTGAAATGTAGAGATCTTCAATGTTTCAATTTGATGAGTTTTGACAAGTAAACATGTAGTTAGTTCTTGTTATTTGAGGGATTTGTATTCTATAAAGTCACCCAAATAATCGAACACTGAGCTATTGCTCCTAGGGGAAATACAGGGATAGGTTCCGGCCAGCCCCCGGTGACATGTACTGTTGATTCATTAACACTGAACTCACAGCCAACAGCACTACAACTTGTGCCTGAATGAAGCTTATCTGGCATACATCTTTTTCTGTAAGGCACATCACAGCCTTCTTGCACTTAAGAACACTAGACAGCACTTCAACACTATGTGTGGTGGCCATTTAAACAGCAAAACCAACAAAAAGCACAAAAATCTGAAGAAAACATGGCACTAAATAGACCTCAAACATGCTACTTGTTGAAAGGAGAGCTGAAACAAACATCACCTTGCTGGACCTCATCTGGGAACATGTATGTCAGTTGACAGAAGTGTTCCACTCTACACACATCTACAAATGACTTTCAAAGCTCTGTAGGTATTGATTATGGGGTTAATAAATTTTAGCCGGTAGGCAAATTCACAGATATGGACTTTGTGTGACCCACAACCCTATCAAGAAACAGAACATTTCCATCACCCCCTTTCCTATTTCTTCCTTATCCCTTTGTTTCAAGGTTGAACTATAGCCTACTATTCCATACTTTTTCAAAACAGGTGTCGACCATGCCCAGATGACCTACGATGGGCAGCACTGGCATGCTACAGAAGCCTGCTTCTCTTGTGCCCAGTGTAAAGCCTCTTTGTTGGGGTGTCCCTTCCTTCCCAAACAAGGTCAGATTTATTGCTCAAAAACATGCAGTCTTGGTGAAGACGTCCATGCCTCCGATTCCTCCGACTCTGCATTTCAGTCTGCTCGATCAAGAGACTCCAGAAGAAGTGTCCGGATGGGCAAGAGCAGTCGGTCGGCGGATCAGTGTAGACAGTCTCTCCTTTTGTCCCCTGCTCTAAACTATAAGTTTCCTGGCCTTTCAGGCAATGCCGATGACACCCTTTCTCGGAAATTGGATGACCTGAGTCTCTCCAGGCAGGGAGCAAGTTTTGTCAATGAAGACTTTTGGAAAGGCAGAGTAGAGCACGAAACCCCAGAAGACCCCGAAGAATGGGCCGAGCACGAAGATTATATGACGCAGCTCCTCCTCAAGTTTGGTGATAAAAGCCTCTTTCAGCAGCAGCCCAATGAGATAGATATTCGAGCCAGTGAGCATTGGATATCTGATAACATGGTTAAAAATAAGACTGAGTTAAAGCAAAATAACCAGAACCTTGCAAGTAAAAAATACCAATCTGATATGTATTGGGCACAGTCACAAGATGGATTGGGAGATTCTGCCTATGGCAGCCACCCAGGCCCGGCCAGCAGCAGAAGGCTCCAGGAGTTGGATCTGGACCATGGGGCTTCAGGATATAATCATGATCAAACGCAATGGTATGAAGGTTCCCTGGAGTGTTTGTCAGACTTGAAACCAGAGCAGAGTGTCCGGGATTCTATGGATTCTTTGGCTTTGTCTAACATCACAGGTACGTAATCTAGGGATTATGCGGTATTTGAAAAAAGTCACTAAAAAGTCTGTTCTGAAAATTACAGCTCAGCACCAGTAGGGGCTATGTTAATTAAAACTGTAGACCAAGGGAAGGAAGGCGTTTCTGTTAAATGCCAAACACTATATAGTAAAACAAATATACATATGTGTGTGCATATGTATATAACCTTAATATAACCTTTCTGAATAGGTATTGATTTATTTTGGTAATGGAGTCTGCATTTGTGTCTGAAAGATACTGTTCTCTTCGGATTGTGTTGTATGAATTTCAAGTTATTAAATCAGTCTGCACACTTTATACGCTGATAACATTTTTTGTATTTCTCTGAATTGCCGTGTGGCAGCAGATAGCTCAAAAATAGCTGAATATTTTTTACCCAGATTATAAAATAATTTCACTTTAATGTTTTCAAAGCACATTCATATCAGTTATCCACATTTCATCCTTAAAATGAACCTGAGCTGTATACAGTGGATATTATTGCATTTTCTAAATGAGGAAACTTGAATTACCAGAGGCTAAATGCCTAACTTTACAGAGGTTTTTAAAGGCAAGATCAAACCTAGCATCTAGCCCTCCTGAATCTCACATTTGGAATAAGTCTCCGGATACAAAAATATTGCTGTTACATGGCTAGTTTTATAACCAAACTAAGTGACATCTAGTGCTTTCATAAACCTGATAATTACTGGCAATGTAGACAGGACAGGCTTTAGTGGCTGCCCACTGCCAGAAGGGACCCTGTGCCAGGAGCTGCAGCCATAAGGAAGGATAAGAGAGCAACTCTCCCAGTTTCTGTTGGGGTTGTCCAAGGAGAGTTGAGGAACAATGGATGAGACAATATTATTTAAGCACCTCCTGTTTTCCGGGTCCTATGTTAGCTGTTTAACACTGATCAGAAATAGACATTATTTGGTACACATAAAGGGTTACTGCCAGACGTTCCTTGACTAGACAGGCAGAAAAACAGAGCTCCCTTTAGAAAGTAGGAAGTTCTTTAGTACCCACTCGACAAGAGTCCACACCGGTCCTCACTGTCACTTCCATTCTGCTGGGCCATCCCTATTTATTTATCTTCACTTGCTTGGGCCCTGTTGAAAAGAACAGTGTCAGTTTGGGGGGAAGTTCCAAAGTAAGATTAATCTGGAACTGGCATGTTATTGTACAGGTTGCAGGGGAAGAAGACTGGATGACAGCCTAGGTTAGGGGTTGGCAAACTTGTGTAAAGGGCTAGAAGGACTTCCCAGGCCAAACACTGTTTCAACTACTCAACTCTGCCACTATAGAAAGTAACCAAAGAAAATATGTAAGCAAATCGGTGTGGCTGTGCCCCAGTGAAACTTTATCCACACATAGGCTATGGGTGGGATGTGGCCCTTGGGCTGCAGCTTACTGACCACCACCTAGGTGTAAAATAAGGAAAACGAGTCTAGGTGTAAGGGAAGGATCATAATGGTGGTCATGTGGATGCAAAGGAAGGGATGGATTTGGCTTTAAAAGATTGAGAGGCAGGAGCTTCTAACATGTCATGTGTATAAATTGATGATGAGACTTTTATGGGCATTTAAATTGCTGCTGCTCATGCCATGTGCTGTAACTAATATTTGGCTCCAAAACAACTGGACTCCTAAGAGAGGCTGTGCCTCTTGGATTGGTAAGAAAATTTGTATCTCCTTTCTATATGTATGTGCATGTTGATTTTACCTCGTGGTTGTTAATCATGATACTGGAATTTAGGAGAATTTTCTTTGAAATGCTTCCTTTCAGTAGCTTCCTTTTAATAATTGTCAGAACATTAGGATTATCGAGAATCACATCTTGTTTTGGCTTTCCTTGTAGGGGCGTCGGTGGATGGAGAAAGTAAGCCGAGGCCATCATTATATTCTCTGCAAAACTTTGAGGAAATGGAGGCAGAAGATTGTGAGAAAATGAGCAATATGGGGACTTTGAACTCTTCCATGCTGCACAGGAGTGCAGAGTCCTTAAAGAGTCTAAGCTCAGAGCTGTGCCCAGAAAAAATCATGCCTGAGGAGAAACCAGTACACCTGCCAGTGCTTAGGAGGTCCAAGTCTCAGTCCAGGCCGCAACAGGTCAAGTTTTCCGATGATGTCATTGACAACGGAAGCTATGACAACATCGAGATCCGGCAGCCCCCAATGAGCGAGAGGACTCGGAGACGCGTCTACCATTTTGAAGAGAGAGGATCCAGGCCTCACCACCGTCGCAGGCGGAGCAGGAAGTCGCGCTCCGACAACGCCCTGAATCTCGTCACAGAAAGAAAATACTCCCCCAAGGACCGCCTGCGGCTTTACGCCCCTGAAAACTACGAGAAATTCATCCAGAATAAGAGTGCCCGGGAGATCCAGGCCTACGTCCAGAACGCGGACCTGTACGCGCGCTACGCCCACGCTGCGTCTGACTACGCGCTGCGTCACCCGGATGTGCCGCGGTTCCTGGGGCTCTACGGCGAGGACGACGATTCCTGGTGTACCTCCTCCTCCTCTTCCTCCTCCGACTCGGAAGAGGAAGGGTATTTTCTGGGACAGCCGATTCCTCAACCCCGGCCACAGAGGTATGCCTACTACACAGACGACCTTTCTAGTCCGGCATCTGCACTGCCCACGCCTCAGTTTGGCCCGGGAACAACCAAATCCAAGAAGAAAAAGGGACACAAGGGCAAGAACTGTATTATTTCTTAATCTAGTAGCTGTGGAGGTCCTGTTTAAATTTAGCCATTAACCATCTTGAAGCGTATCTTTTTTTTTTTCTTTCATAGGAAAGTTGCTAAAATAGCTTAAAGTGCTTTGCCCATGTAAATGAGCCCCGACTGCTGTTTACAATGTCAGGTTAACTTTGAGGAGGTGTGAGTGATTTCTCCAGTTTACCCTCCCCGGATGGTGCCCGGTAGCCACAACCAGTCAGGTGCATTACAGTTTTACTTTGCTGCTTTGGTCTCCAGTCCGTAAGAGAATCTGACAGACACTGTCGTGAGCTGATTGGACGGGGGTGTTGATTTTAGACAACGGAGAACTTCAGCCACCTTTGTAAAGCAATAGTGTTTGTCGTCCGTGTTAGCCAGGTTGGCGCAGGTCCCGATCGGTCTGTCTTGTGCGGCATGCACGTGGTCACACTGACCCAGCCAACATTGTGCGTCCCATCCCACGAGGCCACCCAGTCCCCACTGCAGTCCTCTTTTAGCCAGGTAAACATTGTATTGTATTAGCTCCAGATTACAGATTGGGGTGGGGGGGGGGGAACAAAAAAACTTTGCTATTTATAATGTAGTATTTCATAGACTTAAGTGTATTCCTAATTTAACGGTGCAAATATTAATGTACATACTGTACAGTTCAGATTTTAAAGCTGATATTTTTATATCCCTGAATTGCAAGATGTTTGTTACACTGCAGTGCTAGATTTGTTAGGGAACCAGAAACAGCATTTATGGATGAAATGATTGCTTGTATTTTAGTCAGGGTTTATAAGTTTAGATGGTCAAATTTATATTGCCTAGTGATGGAAAGTTTCTTTTTTTTTATTTTTTCAATATTAAAAAGGCTCTGTATGCATGGTGGGGCTATGTAAATACTCTTAAAACTATGGCCCTATTAATCTTACCAGTGTTATTTATGGGTCAAGCAATGTAAACTGTATAAATGTAAAAACAAACAAAAAACCCATATATACCCCTGGAATATATGGTAAAAACAAGTAGAAACTGTTTGGGTGGATGTTTTTTCCCCCTGTTGGGGATGATCTGTGTGTGTGGAGGGGGGTGCCTTTCCCATTTTTAGCAAGGTGGTGATTATCTTTTGGGAAGAGACCAAAACTACAAGGATCTGCTTTTTTGTGGCAGAGGACTTTGCAGATTTATTATTTGAAGAGAGGTTATTCCTTTTCATCCCTCCCTTCCAGCTAATTTGTTGGCTTTTAGCAGCAATTTTGAAAACTGGGCCTTCTGATTATGTTTTTCTTTTAAAAATCTGTAAATTAGAGGATGCTGTACCACCGACTACTTCAAGTTAATATGAGGTTCTATTTCAAGGGAAAATTATCTTGGATTTGAACTAATGAGCTGATATTTTGTTATGTGCCATTCTTGCACATACGTTTCAGTCCTAACTAAAGTCCTAGTGGTACTTTGGACCTTTCAGAAGGTATTTAATAAACGATAAATAATAAACTACCTACCTTTCTGAACACAGATGTTTGCAAACATACCCAGATAACTTGCACTTTACTCCTGTGTTCAGGCACACTTTATCTTGCCGTCCTTCTGCCAACAGACCACCATTTGACTCCTGCAGGGGCCCTGCCTCTCCTAGTAGGCGGGAAGTGGGACTTGTGGCACAGAGGCACAGTTGTAGTCAGTAGAATGGGGGAAAGCTGCTAGGCCTTGGGAAGAGCAACATGAATCCAGCAGGTAAACCAGTGGAGGACAGCGTCCCCTATACACATCACCTGGATATAGCAAGGCTTTGTATCTGGGCTAGACAGAGGCCCTTCAGAAACACCACTGGTGTGAGCTCTTTGCTTAAGAACACGACCATCAGTTCCCTAGTCTGGCTCATTAAAAAACATGTAAGCAGCGAAGAGGAAATACATGCACATGGTAAAAAAAGTTCAAATAAGAGTGGAGTTTATCCTCTCTACCCTTTGTCCCCAGTCCCTCCATTCCCCTCCCCAGAAGAAACCCTGGTTATCCATTGCTAGTGTATCCTTAGGCTGTTAAAGCATATTTCTATAAATGTGTCTCTTTTAAGAACAATAGCAAACTATACACACTGAGACTTGCTTTTTCATTTCATATGTGGACACTTCACATTAGTGCATGTAGGTCTACCTCATTCTTTCAAGGACTACGTGATACTCCACTTTGGGATACACCTTAATTCACTTAACCAGGGCCTTGCTGATGGACTTGAATTCCCTCATAGATGCCTTATCCTGCACTGGCACATGCATATCTATTCTGAGCAGCATAATTACTGACACAAAGGTTATGCATGAAAATTTTGATGGGTATCAACTGTTTTCCTCCAAAGAAATAATCTTAAATTACCCTAACTGTATGTGAGCCCTTATTCCAATACAGTCTTACATCATCACATAATAAAAAATTTCTTGATTTTGAAAACCTTTTCGGAACCTAATGCTGCAAAGAGTGGGCAACCTTTTAGAAAAGACTGTGGCTACAAGTTGCTTATAAAGGATGGGTAACAAATAATAAACAGGTATGCTTAGGCTGGGTATAAACTGAAGTCACTGTTCTCAGTGGTTTTCAAATCATTCTCACAAGATTAATTCCTTTTGCTTCTCACCATATTCATCCTTTTCGTTTCCTTATATAAGGGTTAGAATGCCAAAGGCTTAAGGAAATGCAGAAATATTTACAATAATAATAATGTAACCTTTAAAGCTTATCTACAAAGGAAGAAAGGGAAGTGACTGCCTTGCAATTCTATAAAGAACTGGCAAGAAGATTAAGCATAGCTACTGAAAGATCTGCACAAATTTAGTTATTAACAAGAATGCAATATATGTGGTCATTCACTAAGGGATCAGATGTTAAAACCACTTCTAATCTCTAGATAGGTGAAGCAGAATTCTAAGGATTGCATTTTCCTCACTTCAGACCAAATTGAGGAACATTCTGCTTAAGACCACATGGACAGACACTGATAAAATGACAACAGGAACTCCTGTGGTGTGTGTTACTTGCCATTGAGTTGGCTTCAACTCCCAGGAACCCTGTGAATGAATGATGTCCACAATGTCTTGTCCTCAACAGCCCTGCTTAGCTCCTATGCAAAGCAGCTCATATCTATGGCTACTTTTGTGGAGCCGCTCCATCTCACATTTGGTCTTCTTTTCTTGCTGCCTTCTATTTCTTGCAGAATTAATGTCTTTTCCAAAGAACCCTGCCTTCTCCTGATGTTCCCCAAGTAGAACATCTTCAGTTTTGTCATTTTTGCCACCAGTGATGTTTCATGCTTAATTTGCTGTAGGACCTGCTTGTCTTTCTGGCCATTTAAGGCACCTGTAGACCTCTAACACTATCTTGAAAATGAATCAGTTGCTTTTCTCACCAGCCTCCTTCACTGTCCAACTTCTGCATCTGTACGTAGTAATGGAAACTGTGAAGGCGTGGATGATCCTAGGCATGGTCTCTGATAGCACATCTTTGTTCTCAGCGATCAGTCCCTAATTCTTCTGCTGCTCTTCAGTCTCAGCCTTCTCTTGACTTCTCAGCTGCAGTCCCCATGTGAATGACTGAGCCAAAATAAGCAAAATCCCTAACGTTTCAAAATCATCATTTTCTCACATTTCAAGGCTGTATATTTCTGTAGTCTTGATTTTTATCTTCTTGATGTTCAAATGCAGCCGTTTTGGCACCTTCTTTCACTTTCGTCAGAATTTTCAAATTGTTGCCACTTTCTGCCAGTAACATGCTGTCATCTGCATATATTACTTATATTTCTTCCACCAATTTTCATGTCTCCTTCCTCTGAGTCTAGCCTAATATTTTATATATGTTCTACATACAGATTAAACAGAGAGAAAATGCACCCTTCCCTGACACCTTTGCCTGTAGGAAACTGTTCTTTCTATATCCTGCCCTGACAGTGGCTTCCTGCCCAGTCAAGTGCTGAGGCATGCCCACTTCTTTCAGTACAATCCATAGCCTTTCCTGACCCACACAGTCGAAGGCTTTACTGTCTATAAAACACACACCTTCTAAAATTTTCTCAAGCACTCCTTTTTTCAGCTCTCGTTAAAGAGAATGATTCATTTTGTGTGTGCACTTGCTATTCTTGACATTCTGTTTTCTAGTTCCCAAATTAAATAAAGTTCCAGAAGTGAAAGGAGATATACTATCATTTGCTAACGCTTTCACTTTATACGATCATGGGCCTTCTTAAAAGGGTAGTGACATTGCAGTGGGCACCCGTGGCTGCTGGACTTCCACGTGTGGCACACACCCCTTCCTAGCGTGGTCCTTGGATGATGGGACGTGGGGTGTTGGTGTGGACACGTTTCGGGAGTGCCCAGAACACTTCAGCACAGGCGTTACGAACATAGTGTGGGCACACTCTGGTTTATTGGGCTTCTTTTCTAATGGACACTTGACTGCTGCCACAGAAAGGAAAGCCAGGTCGCTAGACCTTCACATTTTTTAAAGAGAAATTGGGAATTTGAACTTTTGTGAACTATCCCAGCTTTAAAATCCTAGCAGCTAATTCAGCCACTTCTGAAACACTGAACAAAATGAGCCTGCCATCAGCAAGTCTCCAACGCATGGGTTAGAAATGCAGAAGCCTGACGCTGATCCCCTCGAACCTTGGGGCTGTCTAGGGGAGGCACAACTAATTACTGCATATAGGAGCACACCTGACATTCTTTTGGTACACAAAGAAGAAAAACTAATGGGATCGAGAAAATTTCACTAAGAACCTGAGTATCAATTCAATGTTAGTAACATAATTATGATAAAAATCTACTTTAGTCAAAAGAGGAAATCGCTAATTGTCTGGTTAGATTCTCTAGCCATTCTTTGGACCTATTTAAAAGCAGAAGGCTTGTTCCTGTACAGTCCGCATGGGTTTTCTGCAATCTCTCACCTTAGGAAGGCTTCCAGGTAAACTGGGCCAAGGAGAAATGAGCAGGAACAAACTGAATTTTATAACTCCGAGCTCACAGTTTGCCAAGGCCTTACAATCCTGAACCTTTCTGGGGGAATAATGTTTAAGGGTGGCTTTCACAAAATGAAGCGCAGAGGAAAAGATGCTTGGTATATAGACTTGGTCACAGGATTAGAGGCAATTCTCTGTGAACAGACCTACTACAATTCCCATTTTAGGGATCAACTTCAGCCTCAACTTTGTTTGTTGGTTTGTTTCATAAATTACTTCATTGTTCAATTATATAGCCTCAATTTTTTGCAAAGGGAATTCTACGTCTCTACTGCTGTACAGGTGCTGCTAGGCCAGCTTGAGAGGTAACTTGCAGCCCATTCTTGGCAAGCATTTGATTCCAGACAACATAGTACCATTAACAGTATGAACCCAGTTCTCTTAAATACTAACACTTGTTTCAGCATTTTTATGTAAATGAACCAAGCAGCTGACATTGGAAAAGATGATTACTAGGCTTACATAAATCCACCAGAAAGTCGACCTTGGAGTGGTACAAAGCATACTGCACTCCAGGAGTCAGGAGATGCAGGTAAGGAGACTCACCTCTCTCATCAGCTTGAGCAGGTCAAGTGCTCTGACCCAGTTTCCACTTCTGTAAAACGAGAGTGCCAGACCATCTCAACGGCTTCCTTCCAGCTTCAGTATTCTTTGGAGACCGAATTTTTCAGGTCAGAAAAACCTTCCCAGTCAGGATAGTGTTGTTTCCCTTTTCTGACTTTCTTTTACCAATATACCTGTCTGGCCAGGATCCCAAAAAAGACGATCCCTCCAAAAACCATGACTCCTGGGAGCTGGAAACTAGAGAGTTGGTGTTTCTTAATATCAATGATTGGATTCTGAATGGACAAGAAGTTAAACTGAATCATGAAAAAGTTTGAAGATCTCCCCCTCAAAATGCATATGCTTCAAATTGGCTTTAGCTTCATTCATTAGACAGTCTGAAGATGACAGCATCATCTTCCTCATGTTATTTCTCCCTAGTTACCAGGATGAAAAGTAAGGTTTTTCTTTTACATCTCAGAGGGCTGCTAATGGCAGCAATCTTAGTCTGGAATCTCTGGACATGTTGTAAGCGAAGCTGAAAAGGTGTTAACTATATTTAATTAATGTTGGTTCCTAGAATAGTAGAGTTGAATTACCAGGTTCATTCCACTTAAATGGCTCTTCTCTAAATCCACCAGGGGTCCAGGTGGAGCACCTAGAACTGTGTCCTGAGCTGCACTGTGGCCACGGGGGCTGTAATCCTATATGCTGCTTGCCCCTTAACAACTACCTCTTATGAATGCATCTCGAAGGTGTTTTTTAAAATAGCTCCAAAGCAGAAGTCATAGGAACCAGTAGGGAAGAGAGTAGCAATTGAGGATAAAGGGACCACCAAGCTTTCCTACTTTTCCAAAAACACTTGAGTTTAGAGTTTAAAGATTCGAGTAAATCTCTGGCTCTGCCACTTCCAGCTACCTGACCTAGGCAAGTTATAACCTCTTGCCCTTAAATGTAAAAAGAATAAAATCCCCATCAGCTTATTAAAATGGGAAAATGTTTGTGACTCACAAAACACTAGAATGTGGTTCTAACCTTGTTCAGATAGTGAAACAATTGAAGAACATGGGGCTTTTCAGAATCCTACAAAATATTTACTATATTAAAACTGAAACATTTTAAGCTATATCCAATATGGTACATTAGATTGTACTCTAAAGAAGTAGCAGTATATGAAGTTTTTAAAATGGCAAATTCCTGCCAAAGCAGGGCTGCTCCCACACCCCTATATCCCCAGCTTAGCAGTTAAGGATGTCTTCCCACCGCAGGACAGGGGCAGGGCATGGAGGCTAAGGCCATCAAGCTGCCCCAGGGGATGAGAAGGTGCTGAGAGAGCTTCATCTCTCCTGTTGGACCCTGGGGTGGATGATCAGGTTGCTCCTACACTGTAAAACACAGGTGATTCTCACACAAGACCACCTCTCAACTGAGTAAGCCCTGCAGTGTTCAGAACACCGTCCACTGTGATATCCTTGGGCAGTAGTGGTAGACCATGTTGGCATGAGCCCACAACACAGCTAACATTCAACCCTGTTTAGGAGAGGAAAGGGAAATCAAAAGCTTGAGCAAAAAACAGACACTTCAGCCCAGCAAGCTGTAACTCTGATGGACTGCATCTCCTTTCACTTCTCCCGGGCCTCACGCCCCCCACAGCCCCATCCACTGGGAGCTGACCCTCCCCTGGCTTTAGAAGCCTTCCCCACCTTCCCCACCAGACATGCGCAGGGTGTGGGCAGAGATGGGCATCTCAGATCTGGTGCCAGGGGAAGAGCCCAACTGGCTGGAGCTGAACCCACCTGAAGGTATTGCAGACACTGGGCCAGTGTCTTTCTCCAGAGTTTGGTCACGAAGGATGGACTCTTCCCACTTGGAGGATGTGGGGAGAGTCATTAGATTCTCTCCCTTTATCCAGGCAGCTTGCCCAGCCTCCTCCCCTCAGTGAACCCTTGGTGCCCTCAAAGAATGTTCATGTTCCAATAAACCACTATCATTTCACACATATACACACATGAATGAGAAAAACAGTTTAAAACCGTATACAATCTTAGTGATAATGGTCTATCATTAGAACACAATTAATCTGTGAGAGCAGAGATCAAAAAAGTGTGCTATAGAATCAAGCTGCCTCTACTGCTGTACAAATGTTTGAGGCTTTAATGATAGTTCTCATCAAGTGACATTTCAAATACAACTTGAAACAAACTCAATGGACTGACAAAGCCTTTAATATAAACAGTCCTTGTTACTACCAGATCACTTATTACAATGGAAATGTGGGACTTGTGTAGCCAGCCAAGGTCAACCTCAGTAGAGCTAAGCCTCAAATATTTGTATTAATCATTTATATTAACCTGAGGAAAAGGTGAGCTGCTATAACAAGAAACCAATCATGTGGCTTAAACAATAAAGACA